ATAAGCTGGACACGAGTTCTCTCACATTGACAGTGGCTTGACGAAAATTGCAGACTGACCCCTCACTCATCTGGTGCCTTCGGGAGGTAGAGATGTTTGAGATATATATATCTCGAACTATCTACTTCTTTTGTAAGGTCTGATGGCGTAGTGGGTTAAAGCATACTAGTTATGCCAGCTACTGGAAGGTAGTTGTGCTTTCTGGGTTCGAGTCCCACTGGTGAGTGTTGTCCAAAGATTGTTTATCTTCACTTGTGGTTTATGCAAGTATAGGCTTATAAGCTGGACACGAGTTCTCTCACATTGACAGTGGCTTGACGAAAATTGCAGACTGACCCCTCACTCATCTGGTGCCTTCGGGAGGTAGAGATGTTTGAGATATATATATCTCGAACTATCTACTTCTTTTGTAAGGTCTGATGGCGTAGTGGGTTAAAGCATACTAGTTATGCCAGCTACTGGAAGGTAGTTGTGCTTTCTGGGTTCGAGTCCCACTGGTGGGTGTTGTCCAAAGATTGTTTATCTTCACTTGTGGTTTATGCAAGTATAGGCTTATAAGCTGGACACGAGTTGTCTCACATTGACAGTGGCTTGACGAAAATTGCAGACTGACCCCTCACTCATCTGGTGCCTTCGGGAGGTAGAGATGTTTGAGATATATATATCTCGAACTATCTACTTCTTTTGTAAGGTCTGATGGCGTAGTGGGTTAAAGCATACTAGTTATGCCAGCTACTGGAAGGTAGTTGTGCTTTCTGGGTTCGAGTCCCACTGGTGGGTGTTGTCCAAAGATTGTTTATCTTCACTTGTGGTTTATGCAAGTATAGGCTTATAAGCTGGACACGAGTTCTCTCACATTGACAGTGGCTTGACGAAAATTGCAGACTGACCCCTCACTCATCTGGTGCCTTCGGGAGGTAGAGATGTTTGAGATATATTTATATATATATATATATATATATATATATATATATATATATATATATATATATATATATATATATATATTATAATAATAATTTTTTTATGTTCACATGCTAGAGACGTGATCAACAATGCCTCGTCTTAATATAGACTGTTGCTGGGCATTGGTGTAATCGCCCCACTGTTACAAGGTCAGATAGTGAGCAACCGGCACTGGACGGGTCGTGAAATGGTATCAGGAGAGGTTTTATCTTACCTCTTAACCAGATTATCTTCATTGATAACACTCATGTTGTTGTTATATCGTCCCCCACTGCATGGGTTCGACGTTAAATCAACGTTGATGATGTTGATTCGGAGTCATCAACGTTGTTGACGTATTGTTTCCGCTAGGTATGGTTCCCAGTGGGTATTGTGGCTACTGGGTATTGTTCCCACTGGATATTGTGTCCACTGGGTATTGTTCCCACTGGATAATGTGTCCACTGGGTATTGGTCCTACCAGGTATTATGACCACTGGGTATTGGTCCTACCAGGTATTATGACCACTGGGTATTGGTCCTACCAGGTATTATGACCACTGGATATTGTGTCCACTGGGTATTGGTCCTACCAGGTATTATGACCACTGGATATTGTGTCCACTGGATATTGGTCCTACCAGGTATTATGACCACTGGATATTGTTCCAACTGGATTTTGTTCCCACTGGATATTGTTCCACTGGGTATTGTTCTTACTGGGTAATGAGTCACCTGGGTATTGTGTCCATTGCGTAGTGTGGCCACTGGGTATTATTCCCGTTCGGTATTGTGCCTACTGGGTATTCTACTTACCTAGTTGTACTCACTAAGTTGTGCTTGCGGGAGTTCGGCTTTGGCTCTTTGTCCCGCCTCTTAACAGTCAATCAACTGGTGTATAGATTCCTGAGCTTCTTAAGCTCCATCATATCTACATTTGAAAATGTTTATGAAGTCAGCCTCCACCACATCACTACCTAGTGCATTCCATTTACTAACTACTATGACACTGAAAAAGTTCTTTCTAATGTCTCTGTGGCTCATTTGGATACTCAGCTTCCACCTGTGTCCCCTTGTGCGTGTACCACCCGTGTTAATTAATCCATCCTTGTCTACCCTGTCAATTCCCTTGAGAATCTTGTATGTGGTGATAATGTCTCCCCGAGCTCTTCCGTCTTCCAGCTACATGAGGTGCAGTTCACTCAGCCTGTCCTCATAACTCATGCCTCTTAGTTCTGGGACTAGCCTAGTGGCATACCTCTGAACTTTTTCCAGATCGTCTTGTGCTTGACGAGGTACGGGCTCCATGCTGGGGCCGCATACTCCAGGATAGGCCTTACATATGTGGTATACAAGGTCTGAAGGATTTCTTGCACAATTTTCTGAAGGCTGTTCTGATGTTAGCCAGCCTCACATACGCCGCCGATGTTGGTGACTGGGTATTGTGACCACTGGGTATTGTGGCCACTGGTTATTATTCCCACTAGGTATTGTGCCTACTGAGTATTGTAACCACTGGGCATTGTGTCCACGGGATATTGTGTCAACTGGGTATTGTGGCTACTGGGTATTTTTCGAACTGGGTATTGTGCCCACTGGGTATTGTGGTCACTGGGTATTGTGGTCACTGGATATTGTGCCCACTGGGTATTGTGGTCACTGGGTATTGTGCCCACTGGGTATTGTGGTCACTAGGTATTGTGCCCACTGGGTATTGTGGTCACTGGGTATTGTGGCCGCTGGGTATTGTGGTCACTGGGTATTGTGCCCACTGGGTATTGTGGTCACTGGGTATTGTGCCCACTGGGTATTGTGGTCACTAGGTATTGTGCCCACTGGGTATTGTGGTCACTAGGTATTGTGCCCACTGGATATTGTGCCCACTGGGTATTGTGGTCACTGGGTATTGTGCCCACTGGGTATTGTGGTCACTGGGTATTGTGCCCACTGGGTATTGTGGTCACTAGGTATTGTGCCCACTGGGTATTGTGGTCACTAGGTATTGTGCCCACTGGGTATTGTGGTCACTGGGTATTGTGGTCACTGGGTATTGTGGTCACTGGGTATTGTAGTCACTAGGTATTGTGCCCACTGGGTATTGTGGTCACTAGGTATTGTGCCCACTGGATATTGTGCCCACTGGGTATTGTGCCCACTGGATATTGTGCCCACTGGGTATTGTGCCCACTGGATATTGTGCCCACTGGATATTGTGGCCGCTGGGTATTGTGGTCACTGGGTATTGTGGCCGCTGGGTATTGTGCCCACTGGGTATTGTGGCCGCTGGGTATTGTGGTCACTGGGTATTGTGACAATTGGGTTTTGTGTTCTTGCTGGTTCCTTATCACACCATGGCATCCTTTTCAGCTGAAAATAAAAGATAGGCTTTTGTTGTTCTCTTGGTCTGCAGGACTCTCCTGGGACACTCTTGGTCAGCAGGACTCTCCTGGGACACTCTTGGTCTGCAGGACTCTCCTGGGACACTCTTGGTCTGCAGGACTCTCCTGGGACACTTTCACATCCTCCAGTAATTACGTGGGACACTTTCACATCCTCCAGTAATTACGTGGGACACTTTCACAGCCTCCAGTAATTACGTGGGACACTTTCATATATTCCAGGACTCACCTGCTTGACACATCCTCCCGGACTCCCCAGTGTCACTTTCATATCCATCAGGACTCACCTAAGACCCCTTCATATCCTCCAGGACTCACCTGCTTGACACATCCTGCAGGACTCACCTGCTTGACACATCCTGCAGGACTCACCTGCTTGACACATCCTGCAGGACTCACCTGCTTGACACATCCTGCAGGACTCACCTGCCTGACACATCCTCCAGGACTCACCTGCTTGACACATCCTGCAGGACTCACCTGCCTGACACATCCTCCAGGACTCACCTGCTTGACACATCCTGCAGGACTCACCTGCTCGACACATCCTCCAGGACTCACCTGCTTGACACATCCTCCAGGACTCACCTGCTTGACACATCCTCCAGGACTCACCTGCCTGACACATCCTCCAGGACTCCCCAGTGTCACTTTCATATTCTCCAGGACTCACCTAAGACCCCTTCATATCCTCCAGGACTCACCTGCTTGACACATCCTGCAGGACTCACCTGCTTGACACATCCTGCAGGATTCACCTGCTTGACACATCCTGCAGGACTCACCTGCCTGACACATCCTCCAGGACTCACCTGCTTGACACATCCTGCAGGACTCACCTGCCTGACACATCCTCCAGGACTCACCTGCTTGACACATCCTGCAGGACTCACCTGCTCGACACATCCTCCAGGACTCACCTGCTTGACACATCCTCCAGGACTCACATGCTTGACACATCCTCCAGGACTCACCTGCTTGACACATCCTCCAGGACTCACCTGCCTGACACATCCTCCAGGACTCCCCAGTGTCACTTTCATATTCTCCAGGACTCACCTAAGACCCCTTCATATCCTCCAGGACTCACCTGCTTGACACATCCTGCAGGACTCACCTGCTCGACACATCCTGCAGGACTCACCTGCTTGACACATCCTCCAGGACTCACATGCTTGACACCGGTTGGTCAGTGCAGCACCCAGGGACCATCTCAGTGTGGCGTGTGAAGATCATATTCTGCTCTAGATTAGATCTAGAGTTATTCATCATCTGGCTCTAGAAATTTACCCCTGTGGCATATCTCTATCAACACCTGGGAGGGTTGGTTCCCTCCCCACCCTCGAAGCGGGTGAGGGGTTGTTACCTAAGTAGAGGGAGGGAGTGGGGGGGGGGGGGGAAGTAGGGGGAGGGTGGGCTGGAGTGCTCGGCTCTCACTGTGACGGGACAGATTAGTTGCCAGATGACAGTGCTTGAAGAAACTGCTGATTGGAACTGAGTCGCCCACTCTAAGTTGTGAATTGTTGCCGTTGGTGAGTATGGCAGCGGCCACCTGTCCTCACACTACATGAAGTGTTGCCGTTGGTGAGTATGGCAGCTGCCACCTATCCTCACACTACATGAAGTGTTGCCGTTGGTGAGTATGGCAGCTGCCACCTATCCTCACACTACATGAAGTGTTGCCGTTGGTGAGTATGGCAGCTGCCACCTATCCTCACACTACATGAAGTGTTGCCGTTGATGAGTATGGCAGCTGCCACCTATCCTCACACTACATGAAGTGTTGCCATTGGTGAGTATGGCAGCTGCCACCTATCCTCACACTACATGAATTAATATTCTCGGATGTTTCAGGTTAAGCTGAAACAACTGCTTATTTGACGTTTATAACATTGTAAGAACAAGTTGGTTAATAAGTGCATGACACAGTGGCTTAGATTAGAGATTCCTACAGTAACTACGCTTAGTGAGAGGTACAATGTTCTCAGTGTTACAGCGGCCTCGTTTAGTGAGTGCTAGAGTTGCCTTACTTCGTGAGTGTTACATCGGCCTCGCTTAGTGGGTGCAACTAGAGAATTGCTAAGAGAGTGCTACAGTGGACTCACTTGCTGAGTGAAATGGTTTCCTTGCTTAATGAGTGCTACAGTTGCCTTGCATGATGAGTTGCCTCATATCCTGAGTGTTACAGTGGCCTCGCTTAGTTAATACTTGGCTAACCTTACTGAGAGTGCTAGAGTGCCCTCGCATATTGGGATTATTGTGTCCTCGCTTAGTGTGTCTTTCAGTGGCCTCAGTTAGTGCTGCAGCCTGCTCTCTTAGTGAGAGTTACAGTGGTCAAGCTTAGTGAAGGTTACATTGACCTCGCTTAGTGAATGGTACAGTGCCCCCGCTCATACTTAGTGAGCACTTCAGTGCCCGAACTTAGTAAGTGCTCCAGTGCTCATGCCGAGTGAATGCTTCAAAGCCCGTGCTTAATGAGAGCTTCACTGCCCGTGCTAAGTGAGTGTTTCAGTGTTCGGGCTTAGTGAGTACTTAAGTGCCCGTGCTTCGTGAGTGCTTTAGTGCCTGTGCTTAGTGAGTGCTTCAGTGCTATGCTTAGTTAGTGTTTCTGGGGACTCGCTTATGAGTGTTACAGTAGCCTCTCTTGTTGAGTGTGAATGTGGTCGTGTAGAGCATGTGCTGCGGAGGCCTCACTCAGGGGGCATAATGCCAAAATATACAATGACTGAAAACTGGTTTGATTTCAATAAAACCTTTTTGGACTATTTGTATATGAAATTGGCTTCAACTGGTCCAAATCTCAGCATCGTGGTATAAATAGGAATGGAGAATTTTATTCTAATTATGTGTCAAAAATTTTCTAAAATTTTCAAAATTAACATCAAACATAAGTGTCAACTGATATCATGTCTATGACTCTAAGCTATCACAATAGCATATAATAAAGTATTTTAATAATTAGTTCCCCCCCCAAAAAAAAAAAATAGTTAAAACAAAATATATTATATTTTTTTTAATTTTTCTCAATTTTTTTTTATCATATTCGTGTATCGGGCCATTTGCATGAAACTTATACACCTTACTGAACGTAAGTCTATCTGGAAGGTTTCCAATTTTGGAGGAAATTGGCTGATGTCAACCTGCCACAGGTGGCAAAATCTTTGACTTCATTTATTGTCAAGTAACATAAAAGTGCGTATATTCCTTAATTTTTTATTTAATTTACATGAAACTTACACCTTATATGTAGAGTTTATGTCTCTACAATCATTCTAAGATACATTATTCTTAAGTTTATTTATTGATTTTATAAATATTTATAGACATGAAATACTTTCAGAAATTTTTTGGGGAACTTTGACTATATGTATTAGTAAAACTAAACATATTTTGGATAATCCGCTTGGACAAATCCTGTATTATATGCTAATGTGATAGATGAGTGTCATATAAATTATTACATTTGAAACTTGTGGTTGTACTGAATTATTGAAAATGTGTAATATTCGTTGATTTGTTTTCTCCTTTTCTAATTAGGCTGCGATACTGAAACATGGAACGGTGGCAGCCCTTTTCATATACAATAAGTCAAACACGTTTGGTTGACATTGAACCAATTTTAATATCCGGCTTTATATCCCTTAGTGAGTGTTAGAGTGACCTTGAATAGTGAGTTTTTAGTTGGCTCACTTTGTGAGTGCAACAGTGGGATCGGTTATTTGAGTGCTGCAGTGGACTAGCTTAGTGAGTGAAAAAGTGGCCCTCGCTTAGTGTGGGTTACACTTGCCTTGCTTAGTGAATGCTAGAATTGCCTCACTTAGTGTCAAAGTGTAACTCTCTCATGTTAGAGAGTACTACAGCACCCTCGTTTAGTGAGGGCTTTAGTAGGTTAACTTATTGAGTGTTACAGTAGCCTCGGATAGTGAGTCCTATAGTTGCATCACTCAGTGAGTACTGCAGCAGCCTCACTTATGAATATTAAAGTTGCCACGCTTAGTTAATGCTAAAGTCGCCTCGATTAGTGAGTGCTACTGTGACCCTAATTTTTCGGCTTTCTAGAAAATGAAATTTAGGATTTGTCAATCTTTCTTCATATGACAAGTTTCTAGTTTGTTGAATTAACTTTGTCATCCAACGCTGGGCGAGTTCTAATGAATTTATATCCATTCTATAGTACAATGACCAAACTGAAATACATAATCTAAATGGGGCCTAACCAGAGCAAGATATAGCTGAAGAACATCACCAGGCGTTTTATTACTGACGCTTCAATAAATAATTCCCAGTATCCTCCTATTTGTCTCATTACAAACATTTATGCATTGATTTTTTGGTTTTAAATTCTTACTAGTCTTAACTCCCAGATCCCATTCGTAATCAGACTCCGCAATCTCAACATCATCTAGCCCGTACCTTGTAACTCTATCATCATTACCTAGCCTTAAAACCTTACATATGTCAGCATTAAACTGCATATGCTAATCTTTTGATTATTTCAAAACCTATTTAGATCCTAATTTTTGACCTATTTAGATCGTCTTGAAGTGATAGTGACTCTTGTTTAGTGTATGTTTCCTTCCCGATTTTAGTATCATCGGCAAATTTGCAAATATTACTGCTCAAACCTGAATGTAAACCATTTATATATGTTATGAATAACAGAGGTTCCCGGACAGAGCCTTGATACAAGCCACTTAAAACTTTTCCCCACTCTGACTTAACCCCATTGATACTAACTCTATGTTATCTTTGGTATAGGCATGCCCTAATCCAACTTCATATAGAACCCCCAGTACTGTGGGCCTCTTTCTTTTTAATTAGTCGTTCATGTGGCACTGTATCAAAAGCTTTGCTAAAGTCAAGGTTCACAATGTCACAAATATTACCACTATCATGCAACTGCCTCAACTATGCTGGAATAAAATGATAGCAAATTTGTTAAACATGAACGGCCATTTTTAAAACCATGTTGTGAGTTATATATTAATTTATGTTTTTCAAGATGAAGACGAATGGTATTTGCAGTTATCAATTCAAGTAACTGTCCCACAATAGATGTTAAGCTAATTGGCCGATAATTTGATGCACATGATCTATCTCCTTTTTTGAAAATTGGTACCACATTAGCAACGTTCCACGACTCTGGCACTCTGCCTGACTCTAATGATTTATTAAATATGGTAGACAACGGCTCGCAAAGCTCCACTTTGCATTATTTAAGCACCCTGGCAAACACTGTGTCCGGCCCTGGTGATTTGTTTGGCTTAAGTTTCACTATTTGTTTAATAACATCCTCCCTGGTAATGGTAAAACTAGTCAACCTGTCCTCTTCCCTACCCACATTGTCTTGTTTGGCTGAAGACATAATGTTAAGTTCCTTGTTAGTAAATACAGAGATAAAGCATTTATTATAAATTTTAATCTTCGTCATAATCAGTTATCTGACCTGTCTTAGTTTTTAATGGATCTATCCTTTCCTTAATCTTTGTTCGATATAACTGGAAAAAAATATATGATTAGTCTTTGCTTGCCCTGCTATGCCCCTTTCCTTTCCGGCCCGTTATCGTCGTGAGGGGTCTTGGTAGGCGGCTGCCGGAGTGGGATGCTCTATGGGACAGTCCTCTGTCCTTTTGAAACTTTTTACTCCTGCTGCTGTCTTCTCGAATTCTGCCAGATAACTTTTCCTTTTCCTTATGTTTCATTATTCTCCCTCCTCCTCTCCTTTCTTCTTGTCATTTCCCTTCGACCTTTTGCCTGTCTTGATTATTCTTTCGGACATTTTCTGTTTTCCGGGTGTTTGGGGAGGCACACTCTCTCACCTGTAGAACTGTGGTACCCAACGTCGCAAGAAAAGGGACGCTTTTATTGTCAATACTCCTTTCGTCACTGAACCCGATCTCGACGAACTGACGGTTCTTAATGTGGCGATTGTGGGGCGTATACTCACGACGCACCCTTGGGGATGGGGGAGCCCCGGCCAGACCTGTCTCTTGTTGGGTGTCCTATCCACTAATTGTGGGTACGGAGGCACATTCTTGAATGAAAGTATTACCTCTCGTTTTCATGTCGTTGAATACTGTCCCTCTTATGACTTTTCAGTCTCGTGGGGTGGGCGACAAAGCCCCCGAGTCTGACGGTGCTAGAAGACCTGGCTCTGTAGCCCCCGCTGCATTGGGCCCAGACCTAGTTCCTACTTTGACTCTTCTGACTACTCCCTTCCCTCCTCTGTGGTTGGGTCGAGCCCCAAGCCCCCAGTGGTGACCACCTCGTCCCCTGGTACGGCTCAGTCTCTCATTGTGACTACTGCGCCTTTTAACTCCTCTTTCTCTGGGGGTTCTCAATGCCGTCTCCGCCACGGCTGCACTTGTACGATCCCTTTCCATACTAATACTTACCACGTCTTGTTGGGTCCTGCTTCGTTGGCTAAATACTTTGATCTCCACCATCTGGATTCTACACCTCCTGCCGATTTCTCCCTCCATAAACACCTTATTGATTCGGTAGATGCCTCTGTTATTTTTACCACACCCATTTCGGTACAAGTGTCGCCGCTGCTTCTTCTCAGGATGCAGCTACCCACTTAGCCACATTGTCCTGCATTGGGGAGACCCCTGTTCGGGTCTCGAAAAACACTCGTTTAAATGCCAGTGTTCGCACTGTTCACCTCCTGCTCCATGTTGCAACTAATGTTAGGGACCTAAAAGACTCCCATGCGGATACTAAACATATCCTCGAAGCCCAAGGCCATCCTGTCCTCCAGGTGGACACGTTCACTCGCCCCCTCGTGGTCAT